GAACCGTCATGCCAATATCTGATAGGCTGTATTTTCATTGTTACAGATTGAACATCATTAAAGCATAGTGATGAATCACAAAAACAGTATGTAATTCTATATTGTGAAATATTTATTTCTAATGACAAATAAATGAAATTTTGTCTTGAAGCATGGTGTAGCCTGGATAACAGTCTTCAGGCCGGGTACTCGTAGGTGGGCATATCTGCATGTGGGTGGACCCACCTGGAGACGGATAAAGAAGCAGTATCTCGGTTCCTAAGACCATCGGAAATAGGTGTTTACCGATGGTCTTAGGCGATCCTGTGAAAGGGTAATTTAACCCCCAAAAGAGTCATGACCCACAGGTTGAGAACCGCTGGTTTAGAGGTTATATCGATTTCATTATCTAAACTACTTGAAATACTGACTCGAGGTCCAGGAAAGGCCCAAATTAAAATGCCACGCATCTGTTCTGAGACACGGGCGACATTTTTGATGTGTGCGCCCAAAGGTACACGGACATTCACGGAAGGTTGCCTGATCCGTATTTCCAGGAGATGGAAGTCCTATTGATCATCCAGCTTTAAAAGGTTCCAGATAAAATACACCCAGGAACACAGATCAAGAACCCAGATTACAAAACCCTGCAGGTTATTAATGAATTAATGCTGCTAACAACACTGGAAGACAGTCATCATCTTTTTAAGGGAGAGAATTTCCTTGGAGCACCTCCTGCAGTGTAAGCAGAAATTCAGCACCAGGCGTCGTCATGGGCAATTCGATAACAGGCACGGCATCAACCGTCTCCCTGGTAAACCTCCATCTGAAGCCGGTACTCCGCCGTGTAGGGACGGACTAGTCTTCCAGCTCTCTCAGCAGCTCCACGAAGTCGGTGATGTACCATTTGGCGTTATCCTTGACTTGTTGTCTGATCACATTTCCTCCGAACCCAATGAAAGCGTCCTAGGAGATTAAAAAAAAGAAATACCTTTTAAAAAGCAAACAGGTCGCAGTAGCAACGGGCAACAAATCGTTGGTTTACTTGTTGAGGTCTTTATTCGTTAGAATGAAGACCGAATGTGGAAAGCTGACCCCAGGGTCCCTTGAGCGCCTTCCAGGAGCCGGGACAGGAAGAGAGTTGTTTTGTGATGCCTTGGACAGGTGAGGGTCGTTCCCAGAAGCACCTGCAAGGTCGCTGGGAGAAGAACAAGAGGCTGTCCGTGGCCTCTCAAAACCAAGAGGAAAGCTCACAAAATGGCCAAACCCGACCGGACGCAAATGCTGGACTTCTCAGCCGACATTCTCCTCCACGCCTCGAAAACAGCCGCAGGGCCCCCCAATCGGGGGAAGGCCCGCCACCCACCCAGCAGGCCAACTGCCCCATAAAGGGAGGGCCCACCACCACGGCCACGCTCTCATCCTAGATCGAAGGCGATGGACACTCTGACCCCGCGGCAGAGCTGCGCTTGTCCTCGCTGAAACAGTTCAAAGTTTAAATATGCGACCGTGGCTGTCAAGTCCATTCCAGCTCACGGCCACCCCGTGTCAGGGTAGAACGACGTTCTCTACGGTTTCTGATGGCTGATGCCTCGACAATGGGTCAACAGCTCTTTCTTCCAGGGTCCACCTGGATGAATTAGAACCAACCACCTTTTGCATTAACCGTCTGCGACACTCGGGGGAAGTGGGGGGCGGTGTCCTTGTTAAAAGTGACTTTTCACACATTCTACAAAATGACGCCTTCTTTTGGCCAAGGATTTTTAAATTGTTTCCTCTTCCCCGGCCACAGGACCACCATCATTTGAAAGTATAACTTGCTCTTCCCATCGATAGCCCTTTACCCTTCTATTTTACGGTCATACTGCTGCATGGGGGGTGTTAGAGGACCAGACTCAACTTCCTGGGTCAGATGCTAGCCTCCTAACTACTCTTCCTGTGTCCACGGCAGCCACCCTAACACACCACGGGGCTCTCCACGAAGGCCGGTGTGTTGCTGTGACCCTGAACCGGTTTCAGCAGCACTTCCAGACTAAGACAAGGGGGAAGAGTTTGGTGATCTACTTACGGATATTTAGCCAATGACAGACCTAAGGTGCCACAACTGCCCATCGAGGGGACAGTGCAGGACGGGGCTATACTTCATCCTCCTGTGCAAGTGGTTTATATGGAGGGGAGGGGGACTTGATGACTCACTGTCCACTACTATGGAACCAATTCTGACCCCTGGTGACACTCACTCAGTAACTGCCATCATGTCCACTTTGACTCACAGCAGCCCTCCAGGACAGGGTAGAATTGCCCCGGGGGCGGAGGGGTGGTTTCCAAGACCAATTCTTACAGGAGTCAAAAACCTCCCTTTTCTCTCCAGGAGCGGGAAGTGGTTTTGCACTGCAGATCTTGCGGTTAGCAGCCTAACGTGCATAACCCCCACATCACCCAGGTTCCTCTCACAGTGATCAAACCAAACGGACCGTCTCGGAGCCCGGCCGACTCACAGCGGCCCTCTAGGGCAGGAGAACTGCCCCTGTGGGTCTCGGAGCCGGCCACTCTCGCATAGAAGGCTTCCCCCTCATTGTGACAAGGAATCATTAAAAGTTTAAAAGGGGGGTTAGTCCCTTAGTCTTTCTCGGGTTTGCCCAAAGCCAACTACTGCCACATTGAGAGTGAATTTATTTGAGCTGTTTAGTTTTTTCCCCCTTTTCACAGTGATAAACCTCTGGGTGCATGTAAGCTGCCTCCTGGCGACTCCAGGTGTGTCAGTGTAAAGCTGTGCTCCACACGGTTGTCAAGGGCTGGTTTTTAGGAAGCAGAGAGCCAGGCCTTTCTTCCGAGGCACCTCTGGGTGACCTGGAATGCCCAGTCTTTCAGTCAGCCGCTGAGCACCTTAACTGTTTGCAGCCCCCAGGGACCCTCAGATTCTAAGAAGGCGGCGTTTTAGTGGCACTCCTCCTGGAAATACGCTTCATTCTGAATCAGCTGCCCACCACCAAAGGGCCAAGTGAACCCTGTGAGGGTCCTTCATACGCACAGCAGGGGGGCAGGCTTCCAAGTCGGTGGCCCCATCGCCTATCATGACTATCTTCTTAAAGTGAAATTTTTCCTTTAAGAATTTGATGACTTTTCCTTTCCCGCCGGATTCCGCCGTTGGCTGCGTCTCGTCAAAGCCGGCGTATTCACCTGGAGAGAGGACAGGAAAGGTGCAGTTGGAACCCCACGGCCACAACCAGCGATCCCACAGATGCGGGGGCCACTGATGAAACACCACTGAGAAGACAATCATCGGCCCTCAGGGACGTCACCCAGCTCGGACCCCACCCCTCCAGCTCAGAACAGACCGGCTTTGCTTTTAAATGGCACAAATCACTTGCATGTAGGTGACCAGATTTAAAACGGGACACCATTGACTGGGGGTGGGGGGTGGGGGGTTTCTTGATTAAACATTTGATCTATATGGACCAAATAGACCGTTCCCTAGCTTGTCGTGCATTCTTTCAAAAAATCGGATTTTATTTATTTATTTTTGGGGGGAACTTTTTAAAAACGCCAAAATTCGGGACTGTCCTGCTAAAAGCGGGACATCTGGTCACCTTAATGTAGAGGGCACTGCCCTGGATGCCTAGGAGCCACTGCTAACGCATGTGCCCAATCAGAACTGCGCTCCATAGGGTTTCCTTTTTCTATTTAAAACTTTTCATTATGATTTGAGGGAGCCCAGGTGGCAGAGAGGCTACGCACTGGGCTGGTAACCTCAAGGTCAGCAGTTCAAAACTACCAGCCACTCTGAGGGATAAGTATGGGGCTTTCTACTCCCATAAAGAGTGACAGTCTCAGAAACCCACAGGGGCAGTTCCACCCTGTCCTCGAGGGTCGCTAGGAGCTAACATGGCAGTGAGTTTGTTAGATTTTAACATTGCAACGTGGGTGGGGATTGTTTTTTGTTGCATTTTTAGCCTTTTATCACCATAGTTTGTCACAGGCCGATTGTTAAAGAAACTGACCACCAGGAATTATTTCTGAGGCTCCTTTAAGCAGACTTGAACCTCCAACCTTTCAGTTAGCAGCGGAGCTCGTAAACCATTTGCACACTCACTTCAGGGACCAGAGATGAACTCTGTGAGGTCATAACCACCCCAGGGAGGATTCCTTTTATCCTCTGAAGCATCCAGGTTCGTAAATCTCAATCCCTGTCCAGGTAGCAGAACACAAGTGAAATATAAAATAAGAAGAAATTGTCTCTTATTTCACCCAATCATTTTCCTTCTCTGTAATTACCACACCCATCCCTCTATGCTCACTGCCACTGGGTCAAGCGTGACTCATGGCGACCCTGTAAGAGCGGAACTGCCCGTGTTTCAGAGGCTGGCAGTCTTTATGGAAGCAGACAGCTCATCTTTCTCCGATGGAGCAGCTGGTGGTTTTGAACTGCTGAACTTCTGAGTAGCAGCCCAACGCACAACCACTATAGACATGAGCTCCCAGGTAGCATCAAGGTGACTCTGAATCCTGGTGACCCCGTCTGTGTGCATCACCGTAGACTTGTGATCCATAGGTTCTCAACAGTTGATTTTTTTCAGAAATAGGTCCCCAGGCTTTTCTTCGGAGGCACCTCTGGGTGCACTTGAACCTCCAGCCCGTTAATTAGTGACCGAGCACGTGAACCATTTGTACCACTCTGGGTATGACCAGATCCCCAGGAGTGCTCCTAAGAATGAAGCACAGTATGTACCAAAAGGTGGGTTAAGGAAGATCGGTGTTTGGCTACGAGCAGATAAGACTGATCGCTGCTAAAGCTAGGTGCTGAAAGTGACGTGGGTCGCGTTGGCCACTAAACACAAGGCCAGCAGTTAAACCCACCAGCCGCTCCACGGGAGAGAGATGAGCCTGTCGGCTTCCATCAAGAATGCCAGCCATGGAAACCCCACGGAGCAGTTCGATTCTGTCTGGAGGGTCACTGGAAGTGGACACTGACCCACCTGCGCTGGAGAAAGCTCGGAGAGTTGCTGGCCAGAGGCTGTTTTGCAGCCCCAGAAAGATTGATTTCTGGTTCTCCAAAGAAAGATTTATTTCCGACATGCGAATCAGATGCCTCCCCCACTTCGGTTGCAAGCCAACAGCCTACGGAATACAGAACCTGAAGAGGAGACATCACCATTGCGGTCTTACCATTAAAATAGAATTTCAGCCTGTTGGCGAACACGTTGGCGGCCGGGATACTGAGCTTCGAAGCCACGTGCTCGACGATGCTCCGAAAGCCCCCCGATATTAAGAACACCTGGACATTGTGCTCATGGAGGCGGCTGATCAGCTCCCTGAGAGCGCAAAGCACGAAACACCAAAGACCGTTGAAATACAAGAAAGAGAAAAATGGAAATGTGTTAAGACAGGCGAAAACAGGTCTTGTTCTCCTGCACACATCTGGTAATACTGCCTGAGGAATGGGGCCTCCTGCATGTTCCTCTGGACCCCCCAGGTGTGAGAAAGGGTTATCATGCTCACCTGCTAATGAGAAAGTTGGAGGTTCAAGTCTATTCACAGGTGCCTGGGTAGAAAGGTCTGGTGATATGCTCCCCCAAAATATCAGCCACGGAAAATGCTACAGAGCACAGTTCTACTCTGACACCCCTGGGCTCATCATGCGTTGGAATTCACTTGCCACCTGTTTTGTTTGTCTTGTTTGTTTGTTTTAAATGTATTTTTCTAGATTTAAGCAGATCCCAAGTTATGAACATCCAACTTATGAGCAGGTTCTACTTGCCCTTTCGTTTATGGAATTCCATCCTCACATAGGGACCTACCTCCACCCACAACAAACTCTTCATCATAATCACCTGTGTATGTGCGGATTTTAGACCATGGAAGAGGCTTGGAGCCTTTCCTAAACCAAAAACAAAGCCTAACTCACGGTCATCGAGTCGATGCTAACCCTGCAAGGACCGAGGAGAACCACCCCTGTGAGTTTCTGAGACTGCAACTCTTTACAGGAGTAGAAAGTCCTGTCTTTCTCCCAAGGAGCGGCTGGTGGTTTCAAACGGCTGACCTTGGGGATGATAGCCCAATTCACTACATCGCCAGGGCTCCTTCTGAGCCTTTCCTAGCATTTACACACACACACACACACACACACACACACACACACAATGCCATCGAGTCAGTTCGGAGTCACAGCAACCCTACAGGACGGTATAACTGCTGCTTCCGGTTTCCGAGGCTCTCACTCTTTCAAGGAGTAGATAGCCTCATTGTTCTCCTGCGAAGGTGGCTGATGGGTTCGAACAGCTGACCTTACAGCTAGAAGCCCAAGGAGGAACCCCCTGGGCCACCAGGGCTCTTTTTGCACTAAAGCTGAGCGTGGAAAGCAGAAAGATTTCTCCCAAGTCCTCTCCCGGAAATATATGTTAGACTTAGGACACTGCTTGCAGCTAATGGTAAATGATTGTCAAGTTACCTCCCTGAAGGCAGTCAGCTGCCAGACTATTGTCTGGTCCCACTACAGGTAGCACCTGCTCCCTGCTGTTAAGGGCAATGGGCTACTTCTCCCTAAAGGCTTGAGGCCATTAGTCTGGTCCCTGTAGATGGAATTTACACCCTACTGATTACGTTTCCATGGAGAGCCAGAGAACAGGTCAAACCGGCTCAGTGACATCCAAAGTTAGGCTGCCATCCTGAACCTAGGATCTGCCCATCTTGTCACATGTGTACCCTCAATCCCTCCCCTTCCTATTGTATGTATACCCGTAGATCACACCCTCCTCCATTACTGTATTACCTAAAGCACAACCCTTTCCTGTGACGTATGTCCTCACCTGTAATTAGGGGGCTTGCACATCCCCAGAGAATATAAAAGCCTTGGTTAGCAATAAGATCGATCTCTCTCTCTCTCTCTCTCTCTCCACATGGACCACCAAGTGAGGCTGAGGTGAGCATGCTACCATGAAATGTGTCTGATTGCATTATTTCAATCTCTCTTCTATCTCACATACTCTCAATGACTTTACTATAATCTTTACTTATTATCGCTGTACAATTGCGCCTACTGGACCCGTGATGATGTGTAAGGGGCTGGTTGCCGGGCTTGTTCGTAAGCTGGGGGTCAGGAAATTTCCCCAGGACCTTTTGGAAGCCCTCCTCCTTAGGCACCGAGGAATCAATGAGCTGCACCAGAAACTCGTTCCACACAATGCTTCCTGCCCGGGCACCCAGGGAGGAGCCCTGGTAGTGCAGTGGTTACCTATTGGGTTGCAAACCTCAAGGTCAGCAGTTCAAAACCACCAGCCGCTCCTCGGGAGGAAGACGAGGCTTTCTACTCCTGTCAGAGTCACAGCCTCAGAAACCCACACAGCCAGTTCTCCCCTGTCCTATCGGGTCACTGAGTTGGCATCGACTCGGTCGACGGCAGTGAGTTTGGTTTGTTTAAATGCATTCAGAAACACAAGATGCAGTCACGGGAGAGTGGTTTGTGTCATCGGTTTCCTCAGAGGCGAGGGGTGCAGGTGCAGGTGCAGGCGCAGCTGAGACCACACAGGACTGCAGCGAGGACCACACAAGTGGCCGATCTCAAGTGCAGGTGACAGGCTGTCGGGTGTTGGGTGGAGAAGCGGTGGCACCAGAGCCGGGGTCCTCTTACCTTATCCCGGGGGTCAGGTGTGGAGGGTGCTCTGCTAACAGCCTCTGCACCTGTTCCCGGGAGGGCCGGATCAGCTCTAAGCGCTCAGTGAGCGCAGCCTTGAAAGGCACCGCCCCGCCCATGGCCCGCCTCGTCCTAGAGGAAGAGAGGACAGTCAGAGGGGACAGTCAGGCTAGCCCAGCCAGCCGTCCTGGCTCCCCAGCCCAGTGCACATCCGGGGAGGGCAGTGGCAGAAGGGAGTGTTTGCTGCGGAAACATCTGAAGACTAACAGAGACCACCCCATAGCCTAGTGGCAGCCTGCAAACCGAGGAAGAACGTTGAAGTCTGGGGCCCGCTAGCATCAGACGTAGCTGGGCCTAACATGGTTGGTGGCCTGGTGACTCCAGGCACTGCTGGGATAGTTACTGAGAGACAGAGACAGAGAGAGATGACAGGAGAGGCTCAGACCCAGAACCAGCTGCCCAGTAAACCATGGAGGCCATACTCTCACAAGCGCTGGGCACCTGGAGGTCTCCCTGACCATCCTCTTAGCCTACTGGCTGCCACCGTCCCCCACCATTGTCGATGCTTGAGGGACGGAGGCTCGTATAGGATCCTTGTCTAAGTGGGTGAATGGATGACACACATGCCCCCCAATCAGGGACGAATGGCCAAAGAACACCTCTAGCTAGCGCCCATGTCTCCTAGGCGGGGTCTGAAATGTGGGAGTTCCTTCCACCTGACCCATCCCAGACCTACATTTCTGACACTGCGTCCTCCACGCCACAGAACCTGGCCAGCTCGTCGATGCCCTCCTCTCTGATGACCGTGCTGTCCACGTCAAAGCAGACGGCGTCGGCCGAGCAGAAAAGGCTCCTCAGTTCAGAGTGGGACACCATCCTTGGGAGAACCTGGCTCGTACGAGAGAGAAAAGACAGGGATGAGGGAACAGAGCACACAGCCTCCGAAGAAGGTCCAACGTGGCTCGTGGCCTCCGGTCTACGTGTCCCATTTCTGTTTCAAAGTCGGTGTCAGCCCACAGAAGGAGGCACCCAGGAACTTGTTCCACTTCACCCTCTGAGGAGCCCTGTGGGTGGGGCGGCGGGGTGAGCGTTAGACTGTGAGCGGAAGGGTCACTGGCATGAACCCACCAGCCGCTCTGAGGGGGAAAGAGGAGGCTGTGTGCTCCGTGGAGGCTGACAGTCTCAGAATCCCACAGGGCCAGCGCTCCTCTGTCCTACAGGGTCGCTGTGCGTCTGAACCGACTCCACGGTTTGGTGTTTGGGCCTGGCAAGGGCCACGCCCAGGTGTCACCCAGTTGAGCGTGACTCAGGCGACGTTGTGAAGGTGATGGCTGTCAGTTGCCATCAAGTTGATTTCGATTCCTGGTGATCCTGAGAGACAACTGCCCCAGGGGCTTTCTGCGAGGAGCAGATGGCAGCTGGCTGAGTGTGAACCACCAGCCTTTCAATGAGCAGCCACTCACTGAACCACTGCCCGCCAGGACACCCTCCTGACACTGCAGGTGCCAGCTTTGGGGTCATCGCTGACGTGGGAGCGACTGTCGGCTGTTTCCGGTCCACGGACCATGAAGAGTGCTAACACAGAGACAGACATCTGATGCCAAAGGAGGGCTTCCAGAAGGCATCGGCCATTGAGCCGAATCTGGAAGAGGAAGCTGCCCTCTGAGGGGGCTCTCAGAGGGCGGGGCCTGCGTCTGGAGAGCAGGAAGTGGTGGTTCAGTGGTAGAAGTCCTGCCTTCCCTGTGGGGGGTGGGGAAAGGAGCTTACTGGTTATACATTCGGCTGGGATCCCCAAGGCCAGCAGTTCGAAACGACCGGCGTTTCCCTGGGAGAAAGATGGGGTTTTCTATTCCCGTCGAGATTTACAGCCTGGGAAACCCACAGGGGCAGTTCTAACCCTGTCCTGTCGGGTCACCCTCACCTTGACGGCAGTGAGTGTGGCAGAGAAAACAACTGTAGACCCACTGCCATGAAGGCAATGCTGCTGACCCCTAGTGACCCAGCAAGACAGGGTAGGGCTGCCCGGTGGCTTTCCAAGGCTGTGACTGTTTACAGTAGCAGAAAGCCTCATCTCTCTTCCAAAGAGCGGTGGGTGGTGTTGAACCACTAACCTTTGGGTTGGCAGCCCAACATGAAACCCATGACGTACCACCAGAGCTGCTTCAGGGTAGACAAGTGTTAACCTGGGTGAAGGAGAAGACGATAGCCAACAAGAGGGAGCTGGGCCCCAAATGACGGAAACAGGAAAAGCCAGTGAGGGAGGTGGGGGGCGGGGAGTTTGATGACCCGTCCACTATAAAACGGTGATCTGCTCTGTAAACCTTCACTCAATTCACAGTTTTTTTAAAAGGGAGAAAAAAAAAGGAAGGATAGTGGAATTTCCCCACAAGCTCTTTGAAGCCCCCTTGTAGAGCTACGTACTTTTTCTCTTGCCTTGTCTTCACTAAAGGCGTAGTCTACTGTGATCAGCTTATCACACACGCCAATGAGAGCCCACGAGGTAAAGATGAAGCCAAGCTGGCCAAGGAGAAATCTTACCCAGCCTCCTGCTAATGTCTACCTCTAGCTGATGCCTTCAAGAGCTGAAAGGGGTTTCTGATGCCATGCTGTCTGGCCCATTCCCATGGCCCTCCCCACAAGGCCACCTCAGCTTCACCCAGCTGCACCTCGGATGACTCAAGTGTCCATCGTTACTGTACTGTTCTCAATGGGAAGCTTTTATTTAGCTACAGCGTTTATGACGAAAACAAGCAAACAAAAAGCCACTGGACTGGGAATGGTGGGGTGAAAAGAATGAAAGAAGAATTTGAGAGATCAGAAAGATCCGAATTCCATCACCGAGACCCAGAAGCCATGACCAAGGTCACATTGATGATACAAACAACTTACACTTAAACGGGCAGAGGATAAACATAGAGTCACACGCTCACAGGGACAGGCTGGCTCACTTTGTCACTGATTTCTAACAAATGCCTTCAACAGAACAAGCCAGTACAAAGTTGACCTAGGAGGGGTGGGGGTGGGGGGACCAAATAAAACAAATATTTTAAGTCAGGGTCAGGACAGTGTGACCTGCAGGCCAGAGCAAGCCCTCTCGGAGCTGTGGTGCCGCCCACGAGGTCAGATTGATTTTCCGATTATAAAGGCATGAAACAATTCAAAAGAGGAAGCTGATTCAAAGGAAGGGCTGGTATCAAAGCTGAAATTGTGAGCACCTGGTTTGTAGAAGGCTGGGGATGACAGTGGAAGCCCCAAACCATTGGCAGGGGCCCCACATGGATTAAGTCTCCAGTGAATCCCCTCTGACCACGTGAAAAGCCTTGCTATCAGACAGGGCATGGGAAAGTCGATGATGGTGGATGTAGTTAGGTTAAAATGTAACACCTTATCTCCCTTTTGTTTTTTTAAACGTAAAGCTGGTTAAAGTTGTTTCAATTTGTCTTTTTCCCCCCTTTTTTTCTTTCTGCTTTCTCTTTGAGGTTTTTTAAAAAACATTTTTGTCTCGTCGTGGTTTGCTTCCTGTTTAAGTTTTGTATGATTTTCTGCTTATGAAATCCAGGACAGGCAGCTGTAGAAAGACAATGACTAGACTGATCCCGGGGCATGGCAGGGAGGCATGAGAGGAAAGGGGAAACCAACAACAAGGAGTCTAAAAAGAAAATGTTCTGAAGCTGATTGTGGTGATGACTGCATAAATCTTAACATGATTGCCTGATTCAATTGTATGATATACGAAGTTTATGTGCCCTGGCAGGACCCTGAGTGGCCCAAGAGGAGCCCTGGTGATGCTTAGGGTGCACGTTGGACTGCTAACCTCAAGGTTGGCAGTTCAAGCCCATCAGGTACTTCAAGGGAGAAAAATGAGGCTTTCTGCCTCCAAAAGCTAGTGTGGGGCCACTAGGCCTTGGAATCCACTCATCTGCCATGGGTTTGGTGTGGAGTGGCCCAAGAAGTTGTTGATTGGCTGCTTAATCAAAAGGCCACCCAGGGGGACTGAGGAAGTAAAAAAAAAAAAGAAGAAGAAATCGAACTCACTGCCCTCGAGTCAATGCTGGCTCGTAGCAACCCTGTAGGACACGGTAGAGCTGTAACTCTCTACAGAAGCAGAAAGCCTGGTCTTTCTCCTGAGGAGCTCGCTGGTGGTTTCGAAATGCTAGCTTTGCACATTGCAGCCCAATGTGCAACCACCAGGGCACCAGGTCTCCGGTTCCGATGGGCTTCTGAGACTCTAAATCTTTGTGGGAGCAGGCAGTCTCTTCTTCCTCCCTCCGTGAGACGGACAGACGGACGGATTCAAACTGCCAACCTTGTGGTTAGCAGCTCAACCCACTACGCCACCAGGGCTTCTCAGAACAAGCAAAAGCTGCTATCAAAGGTCAACACAAACTTGGCTCTGAACAGAAATGATACCACGAGTCAGAATCAGTCGGTGGCTTTGGTTAGCTTGGAACCTAGATGAAAGCAGTTGGCCAGGCCTTTCTTCCGAGGTCCCTCCAGGTGAGCTCGAACCACTAACCTCAGGATTAGGAGTTGAGAGCTTAACCCTTTGCACCACCCAGGGACACCTGATTAAGTTGTGATTGTTGTGAAGTGCCACTGAGTTGGTTACGACCCATAGTGACACTATACACAACAGAATGAAACACTGCCCGGGCCTGCGCCATCCTCACAATTGTTAGGTGCCTGCAAGTGGGTCGTGCCTCATAGCAAGCCCACCTACAACTGAACGAAACCCTGCCTGGTCCTGCGCCATCCTCACCATTTCCAAGCCGAAGCCCATTCTTGCAGCCACTGGAGCAATCCATCTCGTTGAGGGGTGTGGTGGTTACACAATTTCATGTCCACTTCATAAAGAAACAAAGGGGTGGAGTTTAGCCTGTCAATCAGGTCACAGCCTGAAGAGGTCTCCTTGTGGGTGTGGCCTAATCATGAGGATTCTGGGCACTCCCTCTCTTTCTCCCTGGAAGTGGGGGACACACACTCTCTCTCTGCTATACCTTCCTATCGACAAGCCACATGGAGACACGCGGATGGCAGCCAGAGCCCTGGAGATGCTGCCACCGCCATTGGATCCACAGGACTTTCCACCCACCGGCCTGCGATCTTCCTGCACTTGGCACCATTACATGTGCTGTTTGAGTCTGAAGAGGAATTCATGGGCTAATAACGGACCGATGGGCTCATATCGAACTTATGGACTTGATCTGGACTGGGCTGGGATGTTTTATGGGTACATAATTAGTTCTTGATATAAAGGTCTCACTTATGCATTTATGAGTGTCTCTGGATTTGTTTTTCTAGTCAACCCAGACGAGCACAAGGGGCTTCCTCTAATTAAAAAAAAAAAAAATTAATAAATCTCACTGGCACTGAGTCGGTTCCCACCTCTAGGTCTCTAAGGTAACTATAGGAATAGGAAGCCTCATCATTCTCCCTTGGAGTGGCTGGTAATTTCGAACTGCTGACCTGGTGGTTAGCAGCCCAATGCATAACCCGCTCCACCCCCGGGGATCCCTACACCAAACTCATCACCACCGAGTCAATGCTGACTCACAGCGACCCTACACCCTTGGGTGAGCGGGATGGAAAGGAAAGGGGGCGGGGGTGGGGGGGGTGCGGGGAGGCCTGCCGCAGGGAGAGCACCAGACAGAGGAAGAGATGTAGACTCTTCCAAGCAGCCCCTGCACTCAGGGACATGAGGAGACAAGACCAGTTGGAAGCCTTGTAAGTAAAATGGTTATTCAAGAGCAGAGGGTCAAAACAAAAAGCCCACTGCCATCAAGTCCATGCCAGCCCAGAGCAACCCTACAGGACAGGGCAGAACGGCCCCTGTGCGTTTCCCAGACAGTCCCTCTTTCCAGGAGACAGCTTCCGTCTCTCTCCCTTGG